AACAAAATAAACTTCTGATGAACCCACTTTCTCCTTCAGCTACTGCCCTATTCTCTGATTTCTTTCCTTCCCATTTATATTTTTACCCATTCCTATAACATATTCAACCCCACCAAATTTCTTAAGAGCCTAATGTTTTCCATATTTTCACATCCAAATGGTTATTTGTGGTAGCTGGTAAATTCCTCCTCCTAGAAACTTTTTTTGGCCACCAAACCCTACTCTGTTCTTGTTTTACTAACTCATTGCAGGCTTCTCTTTCTCATTCTCCTGTGCTGACTCTTCCAACACTGGAGTGCTGAAGGGCTCAGGTCCTGAATATTTTCTCTTCTCTATGTGTACTCACTCTCTTCACCTCTTTACTGATGGCTCCTAAATTTACATCTCCAGCATAGCCTCTCCTGTAAACCCCAGGTTTTAAAACTTGCTCCACCTTCAAACGACATCCAGAATCTGGCTGACCCTAACTGTCTGCACTATAACTTCCCAAGTCTAAGTCGCTCTCATTTCTCATCCGGACTATCGTCCCCTCCCCAATTTCTCCAAATAAATCTTCATGTAAATCTTGTGATGTCAAATCATGTGATGTCAAATCTCTGCTCAAATATCTCTTATGGCTTCCAACTCATCCAGAATGAAAGTCAACGCTGTTACACTCAAGTCCATGTTAGATTTAGCTCCCCTCTGTCTCTTTACCTCTCTTATGTTATCTAACTTTGTTATAGACACACCAGTTTCCTTTATGTCTCAAAGGGTACCGGGCATACTCCCACTGCCTTTTTTTTGCCCACAAAATACTTACTTCAAAAATTTTTTAGTTCTTTCAGTTCTCTAGCCAACTGTTACCACATTTGAGAGAATTTCCCTAGAGATTCTCCTTACATGTTAATATTTCCTTGTTCTGCTTCATCTTCTTCACACCACTTAGCACTCCCAGCTATATATTTGAATATTGTCTATTTCCTCATTATTCAAATAGAAGAGGTATGTTTTGTTCTGTGTTGTATCACGTTGAAGAATTCTTGGCACATTAAGAGTTTGGGGAACATATTAAGTGATTGTGGAATATTGAATAAAAGGAATATGAGAAAGCCCGAGGCATTGGGATCCAATCATACAACCCACAAAATATCATTTATTTCAATAAGAAGGATTTAATATGGGGAAATAAGTTGCAAATTTTCCAACAAGGGGTGGCAAGACAATTTAGGTCATCAGTAACAAGAAGTTGCTACCACAAGTCTAGACAACACATAGAGGAGTTGGTGCTACCAGAGGAGGTTCAGGTTCCAGGGTCACCCAGAGGAGCCTGGAAGAAATGTACCAGATGGTGGTTGCTGGAGAAACAGAGGAGATATTGTCACTGGTGAAATCACTGCTTCTCTTCTCCTCTTGCTCTCCAATCTTTCACCATCACCTCCTACTGCCTGAACCATAGTCCAATTGGCAAGGTCATCTGGAAATGTAGTTTGCAAGGACACCAACCTGGATATTATCTTAAGTTCTATTGGGGTTCAACTCTAGCAAATACTGTGATATCCACCTATATTTGTGTTCAGAATGGGATATATTTCCATCACAATCTTTTAAAACAAATCTTCTAGCCTCTCTATATGTTATGCTTTCTGTATCATATAACAGATTCTTTGTTTTCAGAAACACCTATTCTGTTTTATTGGTCAGCTTGTCTCCTCCTGTTCCTATAACTCAGTGTTTCTTTAACTTCAGTAACTCACTTGTTTTATGTATCTTTAAAATCTGGGTGAGAAAGTCACTTACCTTTGTCTTTTTTCAAAATTAGCATAGCTATCAGCAGAACATTTTAATTCCATATACACTTTTAACCTTGTGAGCACTGAAATTTACATACAGAAGGGTATATTAAAATATAAGTAGATTTTAAGAATTATTATAAAGACAACTGTTTAACCATCACCCAAATTAGAAAATATAACATACTAGTAAATAAGATGATACACATGTTCTGTACAAAGTAATATTCCTTCTTACCATTCTATTAGTAATCACCCTCTAAATGTTTATGGTAATCATTTCAACTCATATCATTTTGTTGTTGTTTATGGTTCCTTTATTAGATAAAATTTACACATGGTCAAATGTACAAATCCTAAGTTAAAATTCAATGTATTTGCATAAATTCATATACTAGTGTCGTCTACAGTCCTTTCAAGGGGCAGATTAATTCCATCATCCAGAAAGCTCTTTTGTGCTCATTCCTCAGTCAGAATTGTCACATAGCCCTCACTTCTCTTCCAATATATATTTCACTAGGTATTAGGTTTATTATTAACCTATAATTAGAATTACAGGTTAATATTTTCTGTATTTGGCTTTTTCTCAGTATATTGTACATGAAATTAATGTATGTTTTTGTTTGTATCAATATTTTATTCCTTTTTATTGCTGTGTAGTATTACATAGAATGGACTTGGAAATATTCCCAAACCACATTATCTGATAAGAGTTTAATATCCAAAATACTTAAGGAACTCCTACAACGCGACAGCAAAACCCAAAATACTACTTTAAAAATAGGCAAAGAACCTGAACAGACATTTCCCCAAAGAAGACATACAAATTGGCAGCAGGTATATGGAAACTTGTTCAAATTCACTAATCATCATGGAAATGCAAATCAAAAATACAAGGGATGGGGGCTTCCCTGGTGGCGCAGTGGTTGAGAGTCCGTCTGCCGATGCAGGGGACACGGGTTCGTGCTCCGGTCCGGGAAGATCCCACATGCCGCGGAGCAGCTGGGCCCGTGGGCCATGGCCGCTGAGCCTGTGCATCCGGAGCCTGTGCTCCGCAACGGGAGAGGCCACAACAGTGAGAGGCCCGCGTACCGCAAAAAAATAAAAAATAAAAAAATCTACAAACAATAAATGCTGGAGAGGGTGTTGAGAAAATGGAACCCTCTTGCACTCTTTGTGGGAATGTAAATTGATACAGCCCCTATGGAGAACATTATGGAGGTTCCTTAAAAAACTAAAAATAGAACTACCATATGACCCATCAATCCCACTACTGGGCATATATCCTGAGAAAACCATAATTCAAAAAGAATCATATAGGGCTTCCCTGGTGGTGCAGTGGTTGAGAGTCCGCCTGCAGATTCAGGGGACATGGGTTTGTGCCGCAGAGCGGCTGGGCCCGTGAGCCATGGCTGCTGAGCCTGCACGTCCGTAGCCTGTGCTCTGCAATGGGAGAGTCCACAACAGTGAGAGGCCCACATATCATAAAAAAAAAAAAAAAAAAGAATCATATAGCCCACTGTTCAATGCAGCACTATTTACAATTCCCAGGACATGGAAGCAACCTAAGTTTCCATCAACAGATGATAAAGAAGATGTGGCACATATATACAATGGAATATTACTCAGTCATAAAAAGTAATGACATTCAGTTATTTGTAGTGAGGTGGATGGACCTAGAGACTGTCATACAGAGTGAAGTAAGTCAGAAAGAGAAAAACAAATACCGTATGCTAACACATGTGTATGGAATCTAAAAAAAACGAAAATGGTTTTGAAGAACCTAGGGGCAGGGCAGCAATAAAAACGCAGACATAGAGAATGGACTTGAAGACACGGGTAGGGGGATGGGTAAGCTGGGACAAAGTGAGAGAGTGGCATGGACATATATACACTACCAAACGTAAAATAGACAGCTAGTGGGAAGCAGCTACATGGCACAGGGAGATCAGCTCGGTACTTTGTGTCCACTTAGAGGGGTGGGATAGGGAAGGTAGGAGGGAGATGCAAGAGGGAGGAGATATGGGGACATAGGTATACATATAGCTGATTCACTTTGTTATACAGCAGAAACTAACACACCATTGTAAAGCAATTATACTCCAATAAAGATGTTAAAAAAAAAAAAAGAGGGTCTCAGCTGTAGGAATGATGTGGTTATCAGGGGAGACCACAGAAACCTAGTTCAGCTCCTTTGGGGCAAAAATTCACCCAGCCCAGGGCGTGTAACAGCCCAGGATGCCTCCATCCATCTTTCAGAGGGTCAACCTCTCACCTGAACCTCAAAATAAACTGAATTTTGTGGACTGTGTGGCTCACCATCACCGTGGTTGTGGAGAACAAGTTGGTGATGTTGAAAAAATCAAAAACTGGGTAATTTTGCCTCTGCATCCCCCAAAAAGAACAGAAAACGATTATTTGTTGGAATGTTGGTTGTGCTTTAGAAAAGGAAACTAAATGACATATAAATGACTGATTCCAAACAGCCAATAAGGAAAGACGAGATGAGATGTTTGGGATCCTGGTGGTTGATCTTTGTGCTTCACTGCTGACCTGCTTTAGGCCCTTAATTTCCACCATGTCTCCTCTTTAGAGATGTGAGATCTGTGACTGTGTGGTGCAGGCTGGTCTGTTCTCCAGCTTCTTTGCCTTCTTCTCCCTGGTGAAGATAAAATGCAGAATAAAGCTGATCCTAAAACTGAAAAAAAAATGATTGTATTTTGTTAATTATTTTAATCTAAATTCAGTGTAAACAATAAAAACACTTGTTTTCTGTTCTTTCCACCGGAAAATCATAAGCGGTTCACTTCTGTGTGTCTCAAATTCCATTTTCTGGAAGTGACTGAAGACCCTGTATCAGCCTTATTTTAGCTTGTTTAGAGACCATTGTACATGCCAAAGTCCAAATTTGACTTTACAGAAATCACTGAGCCCAAGCACATTCAGAAAGTAAAACTTTAAACAGATTTAATGGTCATCAGAGAGAAGTATCTTTGGTAAATTATTTTCTCTGTGACTTTTCTAAAGAAGAAATACCTCCTGATTCCAAAAGGACTGGGGAAATTGCTTCCACTGCTCTGTTGCAGTAGTGAGGTCACAGGAACCAGTGATGAGAAACTGGTGTGAGGTCACATAGACTTAGTGTCAATTAGTGAAAGGAAATGTTTTTCTCCCTTTGAAGTTGTAGCTAAAGTCATCCTGACTCTTCGTGAGGATCACCTGTACACAATGGCCTTTGAGGAACTCCTGGATGAATTTGGTGACCTGGGGAACTTCCAGATCCTTCAGCTGGTTGTTTTTTTTTTTTTTGGCGATACGCGGGCCTCTCACTGTTGTGGCCTCTCCCGCTGCGGAGCACAGGCTCCGGACGCGCAGGCTCAGCGGCCATGGCCCACGTGCCCAGCCGCTCCGCGGCATATGGGACCCTCCCGGACCGGGGCATGAACCTGCGTCCCCTGCATCGGCAGGCAGACTCCCAACCACTGCGCCACCAGGGAAGCCCCTTCAGCTGGTTTTAATTCTTCCTTCTCTCATGATAGTAGTTTGTCATCTACTGTTGGAGAATTTCACTGCAGCCATTCCTGGTCATCGCTGCTGGGTCCACATCCTTGATAATGGCACTGTCTCTGATAATGACACTGGGACCCTCAGCCCTGATGTCCTCCTGAGAATCTCCATCCCGTTAGATGCTAGCTTGAAACCAGAGAAATGCCATCATTTCCTCCTCCCCCAGTGGCATCTCCTTCACCTGAATGGGACCTTCCCTAACATGACTGACCTGGACACGGAGCCCTGCATGGGCGTCTGGGTGTATGACCGAAGCTCCTTCTCCTCCACCATCGTGACTGAGGTAAAGGCCCCATTTACCTCTCGTGAGTTCATGGTATGGGTGTTTACAATAGCATAAAATAAACACAGTTCAACTGTTCAGTTGCTGAGTGGATAATGTAGCCACCTCTCCTTCATTCTTTTGGGAAAAGTGATTGCTTATCTATTGAATGGCCAAGCACTTACAGCACAATTGATGACAGTGAAATCAACAAACTCGACATGAATTTTACTATCACAAAGCTTTACATTTAATGTGAAGATTGCTGGGTGGATAAGTACTTGATATAAATTGTGGGAAGTTATTCCTGGTCATTTGCTCTCAACCTAGTTGCAAATTGCAACTATTTGTTAGTTTTTAAAAAAATTCCATGTCCTGCTACTTGTCTGAGAAACAGATCGGAGTGCATTTCACTCTGGGTGTGAAATCTGGGAATCAGTGTCGGAAAAAAACTTCAGTGGGGCTTCCCTGGTGGCGCAGTGGTTGAGAATCTGCCTGCTAATGCAGGGGACACGGGTTCGAGCCCTGGTCTGGGAGGATACCATATGCCGTGGAGCAACGAGGCCCGTGAGCCACAACTACTGAGCCTGAGCGTCTGGAGCCTGTGCTCCGCAACAAGAGAGGCCACGATAGTGAGAGGCCCGCGCACCGCGATGAAGAGTGGCCCACGCTTGCCACAACTAGAGAAAGCCCTCGCACAGAAATGAAGATGCAACACAGCAAAAATAAATAAATTAATTAATAAACTCCTACCCCCAACATCTTCAAAAAAAAAAAACTTCAGTGTTTTCAATGTGTGCAAATATTGAGGTCTACTGAGGTATGCAGTGCTAAGTGAATGTAAAGATTGGCCCCAAAATAACCTAGGAGAGTTAGCTGAGGAATTCTAGAAAATATATGCTTAAGCTGAGACATGAATGATTCAGATGAGTAGAGGTAGTAAAGGAAGCCAGAGGGTGTGTTCACTGAGGGCTATTGGAGTCAGTGCACATCAAGGGATACAAGATGATGTGAAGCTCCTCTGTGCTGGTTTCCTTCTCTTCCGGTGGGACCTCGTATGTGATCATCAGTCACAGAAACCAGTGGTTCAATCCCAATTCATGGCTGGAATGCTGGTGTGGGGCCTCATATATGGCCATCTCTCAGATGGATGAGTGTCTCTAGCGCACTGCTGCCCTTCCTCTGTGGTGTTTTCACAGTTTATGATTAACTGTTTCATAAAGAAGTCTTTATCGAGTTCCCCCAGTATACAATTTAAACTGTTGTGGGTTGCCTTGGTTCCCAGGCAGCTATAGATGGAAATGCAGAATTAGACTCATTGTGATAAATGCCATTTTGTTGCCACAGAGCTCTCTGTACTGGAGACAGAAATGACCTCTTTATGAGATCTGGGAACATTTCAGAACAGCATTTAGAGGCAAGTTGCCCTAAACTTCATTTATAAAGATGAGAAGGAGTTGCCAGTGGGAAGTAAAAGGAATGCAGGCCTTTTCCATAGCTTCTATATTAAGTACCTTACAGATTCAGTGAGCTAAATGCTGTGGCTTCCTACATCAGTCATCATGCTGTGGTTACCCCACTGTAATTAGTATTCATTCTATGAAACCTGGTGCTTTGTTATTTGGTACTGAAGTTGAATTAAGACATGTCGTGGCTATAATCTGGATGTTTGATTCTGTAAAAAAAAAAAAAAAAGCCTCGTTAGAGGTAATACTTGCAAACATGTAAGGTAATTAATCTGTAGACCCCTGCTGTTATAACTTGTGTGTGAGAGCTTTGGGTTATTCTGCGCCTGGCAGTAATCATTTGAAAGTAAGAGGACAACCATGGCAGCCATACATGCAAGTCTCCTGTAGGGGAGGTGAAAGGCTTAAAGTATCCCTTGTTGTCTGTAAGCCTAACAGCATTTAATCCTACAGCTGAAAATTGTGGACTCTGAATGTATCACCTCAGTGTCATTCATAAAAGATTTCAGGGTCAGAGTGCTCATATTGGCCAGTCTTCCAACTGAACCCTTTATGATGATTCACAGTAAAATGCTGATTGATCTCTTTACATGGGCATAGGGTGATAGATATGTGTGGCTGTGTGTGGAAGTGGGTTATGACAGGTGATGAGTGTGGAAACTTAAGGAAAGAAGAGGGAGCCTTATAGCAAAGCTAAAGATTTTAAACTAAAAAGCTTCTGAACACCATCATGAAAAGGAAAAACAAAGTGGGATTACGTCAAACTAAAAAACTTCGCAAACCAAAGGAAATGATCAACAAAATGAAAAGGAAACCTACAGAATGAGAGAAAATATTTGAAAGTCATATAGCTGATAAAGAGTTACTATCCAAAATTTACAGGGAACTACTATAACCAATGGCAAAAAATCCACAAATAACCTGACTTTTTAAATGGGCAAAGGAAATCAATAGGTATTTCTCCAAAGATCACATAGAAATAGTGAACAGGTATATGAAAAGATGCATAACATCTCTAATCATTAGAGAATTACAAATGAAAACAATGAGATGTACCCTTATGCCAGTCCAGAAGGCTAATATATCCAAAACACTGTTTTCAAGACCAATGTCAAGGGCTTTGTCCTTATCTTTTTTTCCAGGAATTTTACTGTTTCAGGGTATTGTGTAAGTCTAATCCATTTTGAGTGAATTTTTTCAATTGTGTATATAGGGGTCAAACTTCATTCTTCTCTATGTGATTATACAGTTCTTTCAATACCATTACTGAAGACACTGTTATTGGCTTCTTTACCACATATGGTATCTGAAGACTTAATTTCTGGGATCATAATTCTTTTCTATTGGTTTATGGTCTATTTTAATGCCAGTACCATTCTGTTTTATTACTATAGCTTTGTAGTATAGTTTGAAATCAAAAGTGTGATGCTTCTAGCTTGGATCTTCTTTGTGAGGATTGCTTTGACTATTTAGGGTCATTGGTGATTTCACATAAATTTTAGGATAGTTTTTCTATTTCTGTGAAAAATGTCATTAGAATTTTGAAAGAGATTGCACTGAATCTATAGATGGCTTTGCATACTATGGACATTGTAAAAATACTAATTTTTCTAATATGAACTTGGGTCATCTTTCCATTTATTTGTGTCTTACGTTCTTTCATCAAAGTCTTGTTTTCAGTGTCCAGATCTTTCATCTCCTTGGATAAAATTATACTTAATTATTTTATTGTTTTTGATGCTATAGTAAATGGGACTGTTTCTTTTTTTTTTAACATCTTTACTGGAGTAAAATTGCTTTACAATGGTGTGTTAGTTTCTGCTTTATAACAAAGTGAATCAGTTATACATATACATGTCCCCATATCTCCTCCATCTTTCGTATCCCTCCCTCCCACCCTCCCTCTCCCACCCCTCTAGGTGGTCACAAAGCACCAAGCTGATCTCCCTGTGCTATGTGGCTGCTTCCCACTAGCTATCTATTTTACGTTTGGTAGTGAATATATGTCCATGCCACTCTTTCACTTTGCCCCAGCTTACCTTTCCCCCCTCCATATCTTCAAGTCCATTCTCTAGTAGGTCTGCATCTTTATTCCCATCTTGCCCCTAGGTTCTTCATGACCATTGTTTTTTTTTTAGACTCCATATATATGTGTTAACATATGGTGTTTTTTTCTCTCGTTCTGACTTACTTCACTCTGTATGACAGTCTCTAGGTCCATCCACCTTACTACAAATAACTTAGTTTCGTTCCTTTTGAGTAATATTCCATTGTATATATGTGCCACATCTTGTTTATCCATTCATCTGTTGATGGAAACTTTGGTTGCTTCCATGTCCTGCCTATTGTAAATAGAGCTGCAATGAACGTTTTGGTACATGACACTTTTTGAATTGTGGTTATCTCAGGGTATATGCTCAGTAGTGGGATTGCTGGGTGGCATGGTAGTTCTATTTTTAGTTTTCTAAGGAACGTCCATACTGTTCTCCATAGTGGCTGTATCAATTTACATTCCCACCAACAGTGCAAGAGGGTTCCCTTTTCTCCACACCCTCTCCAGCATTTATTGTTTCTAGATTTTTTGATGATGGCCATTTTCACCAGTGTGAGGTGATATGTCATTGTAGTTTTGATTTGCATTTCTCTAATGATTAATGATGTTGAGCATTCTTTCATGTGTCTGTTGGCAATCTGTATCTCTTCTTTGGAGAAATGTCTATTTAGGTCTTCTGCCCATTTTTGGATTGGGTTGTTTTTTTTTTAATGTTGAGCTGCATGAGCTGCTTCTAATTTTGGAGATTAATCCTTTGTCAGTTGCTTCATTTGCAAATATTTTCTCCCATTCTGAGGGTTGTCTTTTGGTCTTGTTTATGGTTTCCTTTGTTGTGCAAAAGCTTCTAAGTTTGATTAGGTCCCATTTGTTTATTTTTGTTTTTATTTCCATTTCTCTAGGAGGTGGGCCAAAAAGGATCTTGCTGTGATTTATGTCATAGAGTGTTCTGCCTATGTTTTCATCCAAGAGTTTGATGGTGTATGGCCTTATATTTAGGTCTTTAATCCATTTTGAGTTTATTTTTGTGTATGGTGTTAAGGAGTGTTCTAATTTCATTCTTTTACATGTAGCTGTCCAGTTTTCCCAGAACGACTTACTGAAGAGGCTGTATTTTCTCCACTGTATATTCTTGCCTCCTTTATCAAAGATGAGGTGACCATATGTGCGTGGGTTTATCTCTGGGCTTTCTATCCTGTTCCATTGATCTATATTTCTGTTTTTGTGCCAGTACCATACTGTCTTGATTACTGTAGCTTTGTAGTATAGTCAGAAGTCAGGGACCATCACTCTGATACCAAAACCAGACAAAGATGTCACAAAGAATGAAAACTACAGGCCAATATCACTGATGAACATAGATGCAAAATTCCTCAACAAAATGCTAGCAAACAGAATCCAACAGCACATAAAAGGATCGTACACTATGATCAAGTGGGGTTTATCCCAGGAATCCAAGGATTCTTCAATATACGCAAATCAATCAATGTGATACACCATATTAACAAACTGAAGGAGAAAAACCATATGATCATCTCAATAGATGCAGAGAAAGCTTTTGACAAAATTCAACATCGATTTATGGTAAAAACCCTCCAGAAAGTAGGCTTAGAGGGAACTTTCTTCAACATAATAAAGGCCATATATGACAAACCCACAGCCAACATCGTCCTCAATGGTGAAAAACTGAAACTATTTCCACTAAGATCAGGAAAAAGACCAGGTTGCCCACTCTCACCACTATTATTCAACATAGTTTTGGAAATTTTAGCCACAGCAATCAGAGAAGAAAAAGAAAGAAAAGGAATACAAATTGGAAAAGAAGTAAAGCTGTCACTGTTTGCAGATGACATGATATTATACAAAGAGAATCCTAAAGATGCTACCAGAAAACTACTAGAGCTAATTGATGAATTTGGTAAAGTAGCAGGATACAAAATGAATGCACAGAAATCTCTTGCATTCCTATACACTAATGATGAAAAATCTGAAAGTGAAATTAAGAAAACACTCCCATTTACCACTGCAACAAAAAGAATAAAATATCTATGAATAAACCGACCTAAGGAGACAAAAGACCTGTATGCAGAAAATTACAAGACACTGATAAAAGAAATTAAAGATGATACAAATAGATGGAGAGATATACCATGTTCCTGGATTGGAAGAATCAACATTGTGAAAATGACTCTACTACCCAAAGCAATCTACAGATTCAATGCAACCACTATCAAACTACCACTGACATTTTTCACAGAACTAGAACAAAAATTTCACAATTTGTATGGAAACACAAAAGACCCTGAATAGCCAAAGCAATCTTGAGAAAGAAAAACGGAGCTGGAGGAATCAGATATTTCTTTGTTAGCATGTAGAAATGCATTTGATCTCTATATGTTGATTTTGTATCCTACAAAGTTACTGAATTTGTAGATTAGTTCTAACAAATTTTTTTGGTTGAGTTGACAAATTTTCTATGTACAAGTTCATATCATCTTCAACCATAGAGAATATAATTCCTCCTTTCCAGTATGGATACATTTTACTTCTTTTTCTCTCCTGGTAGCTCTGAGTAGGAATTCCAGGATTATGTTGATAGGAGAGGTGTGAGTGGGCACACTTTTTTCCCCTGAACATA